GCGCCTCCGGTGCAGGCAGCGCCTCCACCGGCTCCCAGGGAGCGCAGTCTGAGTCCATACAGTAAGCGATTGGCTTTGACGAAAGCTATGCATAACGGATAAAATTTGCCAAATCTGTGGAGCCGAGAAACTGCGAAACCCTGCATTCTTTACAGCGAATACGTCTGAATTGCCCCAGTGCTTGTTAAGCTTCCTGCAAAAGTTGGCAAAGAGAATGAACATTGCTATTCAGATTGTACGGTAGCGATTGTTTCTTGGTATCCAGGAGGGGGTTTTCTCCCTATATGGGCTCGACATTACTTCCATTCTTTTTTTTCAGACAACTAGTATCTTATAGACTTGAGCATGTATACAGCTGTGTGTATACCAAATTTCAATTAAACTGTGCAGCCCAATGGTGAGCTTTTCATGTCTTGGACTCCCCCTGATGATAGATAGACAGACATGAAAGTGTATTTCTTTTGGTATGCCGTCCACCCATTGCAATGATACGAGAAACAGATAGAGGATAAAACGCTCAGGGCAAATGTGATGATGTATGCTACAAGCAATCTGCCTTGCCCTTGCCCGGCTACTTCACTTCATACTCAAATAGGATCCTTCATAACGACTCAGACTACGACTGACAGTCATAGTAGGTATTAACCCTAAGCACCACTGGCTACACCCCGTATATTGATTCCACCTGCGGAACGCTCAGCGGAACCACGAATGTTGATGCCTTCTTGGCTGTGCGATCGTCCTTGTCCGCGGATACTCATATCAGTGTCGCGAGATATGCGATCCGCGAGACCGCGACGAGGCCGCGCCGGCTCAGAGAAGTCGGTGACGTTGGGGTCACGGTAATCGTTCTTCAGTCGTCCATATCCTCCCTCCGAGTCGTCGTCATCGTCGCGCGTGATTCTATCAGCGAGAGAGCGCTTGTGTTGTGGGGCTACAGGTTGGCCATCCTTTGTCATGCGCGAGAGCAATGATGCGCCGCTTCCTCGCTTCACGTCGATTGCATTCGACCGGTGGTGATTACCCATGGGTGAGGTGTCCACGAAGAAGGCGTCCTTTTGCCATCGGCCTCCGCCTGTAGTTCCTCCAGTACGATCATAGTTTGCGCGGTCATGTGTCCATCGGTCAGCGCTAGCTTCACGCCGACGTCGGTTGTTGTGGCCCGGGCTACGGCTACGGTACCGGCTACGGCCTGCGTGCGTTGCGTCCTCTGAGAATCCGAATCGACCGTCGCCTTCTTCGTCTGAGGCAGGGGAGGCGCTGCGCCCTCGTAGGCGACCAAAGCGTGGTTCTTTCGGACTAGCTTCTGTTAGCATAGGAATTGGTGCGTCAGATACTTGTAGAAGTACCTTCTAGAACCTGGCCTGTAAGAGTCGACATCTTTGCCTTGGTTGTCGCTTCGGAACCTGCCAGTAGATTGGCGGTCTCCTCTGCCTCGACCACGATTATCACGCTCATTGCGGGTATCTTGTCCATTTCTCCGCGGGCCCCTGCGATCAACACCTGAATCTCCCATAGACTCATCTCCACTGTCTCTCCTCCTGCTGCGCTCGCGAGACCCCATCTCTTCATCTCCATAGTCCAAGAAGTCCTTCTTCGGTGGTTGCCTTCGTCGCGGGTCCCTCTGGCGATTTCCTGCAACATCTGGGTTGCGCTGATAATAGTTGCTTCTCGTCGCCGCGCCCCTTGGCTTCTGATCTCCAGCATTGGACTGTCTGACTGAAAGAACGCTGTTGGGCTTCTTCGAGTATGGCTTTGCCTTACGAGGCGCTTGCAGAGAAAGGTTGCTGGTATCACCGGTATCGGGATGCGTGAGCAAGTTCAAGGCCAGCGCGGCATCTTCCTTTGTGTAGTATTCAAGGTTCACCGAGTTGTCGTTGACCCAGCGCAGTTGCTTGACGCGTGGTTCTGACTGGCAATGCTCCATGGCCCAGTACAATGGGTCGTTGGGGTCGAAGTCGCTCACACCTTGGAGGTTTATCGACTCGGGCCATGGCTCGTGAATCACAATGTCCTCCAGATAAGCTGCAGGTATGCTGCCTTCAGGCTCTGCTATGTTGTTCTGCCACGGGAAATCTTGTCAGATGGTTGCGCCGTATGCGTTACGACGTTCTGCTGAGCTCACCTGAGCAACTTGCTGTGGCTGTTGTTGCGCTACGGGTTCAACGTTTGGTCCAACATCAATTTCAATATCGTAAGCAACATCTGTCATGTCTGTGTCGTCCATGATGGCGGGAGCGTGCAGTGGGGTTCTGCGATTATGTGGGAATTGCGTAGGGTGGAGGTGTTGTTGGAGGCTGGACGGCCGGCGATGGGACAGGCGCGCCGCGGTAAGCTCCCCAGAGGCGGGCACTAACACAATCACGTGAAGTATGCGGTGTGGCGTGCGGTGTGTGCACAACAATGACCTGCAGCTCCGCTTGGTCAAAAACGGTAACCAGTGGCCAGGCTTTGACGCAGGTGGGTACATATATATCAAGGCCCTGGTCAAACGCGGAGGAAGCCCGGGTTGGGGACGTGCCTACTACACGCTACAGAGAGACAACCACAATAACGATCATTGTTTCTGGGAGCTAACTAGGGTCAAACACAAAGACAGTGCTCCAGACAGACGTCTTGAAGCGTCGCACGATACTATGCTTGTGGTGCCTAAGACTGCTCCTCCAACGTGAAGGTACCGGTCTTGGTGATGAGGTACTCGTTCACTGCGACATCCTTTCCGGACTCCTTGCCGTAGCCGCTCTGTTTGATGCCGCCAAATGGCGACTCTGCAGCAGATCCATTTCCCTATTCTATTATTAGTGACCTACTTGTTTAACTTTGACGTTCAACAACATGCAACATACCGTGTTGAGTCCAATCATGCCAGCCTCCAAGTTCTCAAACAGCCTCCATATCCGGTCAACGTTCTTCGTGAAGCAGTATGAGGCAAGGCCCATGCTGGTATCATTGGCAGCCTTTACTGCCTCATCTTCCGTACTGAACTTGATGAATGTGCAAATTGGCGCAAAAGCCTCTTCTTTAGCAAGATCCATATCAAGTGTGACACCAGAAATAACCGTGGGTTCGAAGAAGTAGCCACCGTCCTTTTCAATCTTGTTGCCACCCGTGTGTATTTTAGCGCCCTTCTTCTTCGCATCTTCCACAAGAGCAACCGCCTTTTCAACACCACGTGGTGTAGTTACTGGCCCCATTGTCGTCTTCTCGTCAGCACCATGGCCAACTACAAGCTTCTGAGTCTCCGCATTCCAGCGCTGAAGGAACGTGTCGAAGATACCAGACTGCACGTAGATACGATTCGCGGTAATGCAAGCCTGTCCAGCATGCCGGAATTTCAGGGCGAAGATTTGGCCTATCGCCTGCTCAATGTTTGCATCGTCAAAAATCAGGACAGGGCAGTTGCCTCCCAGCTCCAATGTCACTTTCTTCAAGTTGTCTGCACATATCCTAGCAATAAGCTTTCCAACACGCGTCGAACCCGTGAAAGTGACCTTGTTCACGAGCGGATGGCGACATAATGCTTCACTGAGCTCTGGGGTCTTGTCGAGATCTGTAGTCAACACATTTAGTGCTCCCTTGGGAAAACCAGCCTTCTGCGCAAGGTATGCTAATGTGAGCACTGTAATCGGTGTCTCTGGACTAGGCTTGACAATCATTGTGCATCCGGCAGCCAATGCAGCACCTACTTTCCTCAAGACCATTGCGATGGGAAAGTTCCATGGTACTAACGCGACGGCAACACCGAGGGGTTGTTTGATGGTGAAGACACGCCGATTTGGGAGCGCAGGTGTAAAGACAGTGCCTTGGATGCGTTCGGCCTCTCCAGCGAACCACCATGTGAATCCGGTGGAGTAATCAATCTCGCCATAGGCCTCCGACCTCGGTTTTCCGGTCTCGTATACAAGAATAGTTGCTATGTCTTCTCTGTTTTCTTTAATTAAAGCGTCCCACTTGAACAGCATCTGTGCCTTTTGTCGAGGGCTGATATTCTTATATTTCTGGAAAGCATCGTATGAGCTTTTGACAGCATTCTCAACATCAGATGCATCGTTTGTGGGACATTCTATCCATGGCTTTCCAGTTCCAGGGTCTTTCCTTGGTGTGAGTACATGGTTCTTGGGCATCGATCTAGCGACTTACCAACTACCTCGAATGTCTTGCCTGATTTCGCTTGCACCCAGTCGCCGTTCACAAACGAGAGGCTGTGAAGAAGATCTGGGTTATTCAGCTTTTGAATATTAGTCCAAGGAATCTATATTGGGATGATGGATCTTTTGAACCTTGAATGGCAGCTGATATTTGTTTTCCGAGCCCATTCTTGCGTTGTCTCCAAGAATTGCCTGCGTATACTGGAAGCTTCAAGGTTTTCCGCACCGGAAGGTGTCTATAGAGAGTTGAGAATCACGACTCTGAATGTTTCAAGATTGATTCTAAGTAGAGGCTAGGAGGAGGTGTTGGTGGGTGTATGAGAATGGCCGGCCCGGCGGGAAAGTGCACCAATGCTGCGACCGTTCCGGTCCTCGAGTTGACCCGTCCAACTGCCCCACCCGAGATGGCATACAGGTTATCGGGATCTGACTGAGTGATTACTGACTAAAGGGCGCTCGGCTATTCAAGGTTCTTTATTAGTACGCCAAGAATATGGATGCAATTGAGATGTTCGGCGAGACCGGCGTGCGATTGGTCTGAACCACGGTGGTCCTCCAACAATACGTCAACTCTATGCGGGGCATCATCCTTACCCCTCACTCCTGTAGCACTGTCGTTCCGAGTATTGGTTATCGGAACATGATAGTGGGGATGCGATATCCAAGGCAGAATATGGGGTCCAAAATAAGTGACAGAAGAGGATGTGCTGTCCATTCTTGCAACGTGACTACTCTGGTGTACCCAGCACCTGACACCTGACGCTTGAATCCGATATTTGTTGATGCCAATTCCGATTGATTCACCACTTGTTCTCCATACATCACCTTCAACAACCACTCTCAATCGTCACCATGGGTAGATTAGACGGCAAGGTTGCCCTTGTCACAGGTAAAAAGACAGCCTTCATCGCCTACCACACTCACTAACACCACCTCTCAGGCGGCGGCTCCGGTTTCGGAGCTGGGATATCAAAAGGCATGGCCTCTGAAGGTGCCAAAGTTCTCGTCTGCGATATCAACGCCGCCGGCGGCCAAGAAACATGTTCTACAAACCCCTCATCGCTAGCCTTCCACCAAATGGATGTGACAAAGTCAGCCGACTGGAAAGCAACTGTAGCAGCCTGCATTGAGAAATTCGGACGTTGCGATATCCTCGTAAACAATGCGGGCTGGTCGTACAAAAACAAGCCGACAACAACGGTTACCGAAGAAGAATTCGACAAAGTTTTCGATGTCAACGTCAAGGGTGTGTATCTGGGATGTAATGCTTGGGTTGACCAAGCGATTGAGAGAGGCGAGGGCGGTGTAATCATTAACATAGCGAGTGTTGGTGCTACAAGACCAAGACCAGGCCTTGTATGGTACAATGCAAGTAAAGGTGCTATCTGGAATGTACGTTCTCATACTTTCTTCCTTAAATTCTTGTTGACATGCAACAGGCAACAAAAGGTCTCGCAGCAGAATACGGCCCACATCAGATCCGTGTTGTATCCATTTGTCCCTTGATCACTGCTACGGGTCTTTTCTCTGCTTTCACTGGTATGGAAGATACGCCGGAGAATAGGACAAAGTTCACGTCCAACGTACCCATGGGACGCATCGGTGAGGTAGATGACGTGGTGAATGCGTGCATCTTCATGGCGAGCAAAGAAGCAGGTTTCATTACAGGAGTCAATCTCGAAGTAGACGGTGGACGATGTATCTAACCACCCATCCACGTTCGCTCATAGATACAATCAATCCATCACTCTTCATCTCCAAACGTCACAAAATCTTCCATCCTCACATCTTCCTCCACCTCTTCCTCGTCATCCTCATCATCCCTCTCGACGAACCACTCCTTCATCTCCCTCTGTCTCCTCTCCTCCTCCCAATCACGCGTCTTTGCCCCATCAATACGCGAATCAAGCACCACCGCACCTACCCTCTCCTCCCTCCCCATCTTGACCTGCCTACCAACCTCGACCCCCCAACCCTCCCACACCGCACCCCGCTCACTCGCCGTCATCGGCCCCCTGCTTACCCTCCACCTCTTCGTAACCCCCCTCTCCCTAAGCTCCGCCGGCGCCGCAATCATAAACCCAAACGCCTCCTTCACCTTCTCGTACGCCGCCCGATGCGCTACACCCGTTGGGTAACTCCCCACATCGCCCCCCGGCATGGGATACGACTCCAGCACTTTACACTTCCCATTTCGCACCCTTGCAGTAGCATTCTTCCACACGCCCACCGGCAAGAAGATTGCTTTGCTCAGCACGATTTCGCCGCTGCCGGGATGTACGTGGCCGAGTAGGAACGCATCGGTTTCGGGGACGTCGCCGTCGCCGAGTTTGGCGCCGCCGGGGCCGAGCGTGTTGGCTGGGAAGACGATTTTCTGGAAGTAGATTTGGATGGGGAGGTCGGAGTGGCTGGTTGCGAAGGGGGAGGTTACAAGAAGTGAGGGGGCGAGGGTGGACATGGGGGAGGGTGGGGGGATGAAAGATAGGGGGGTCGGTGCTGTGCGGTGGATGCTTGGTTGGAGGGGTTGGAGAAAGGTTGGTGGAGGGTAGGGGTGTACATTTGCGGGTAGTTGCTGTCCAGTTGTCATGAAGCCGTTGTTGGAACCATTGAAGACGGGTTGGTTTGGGAGTGTAAATGATCCATTTGATTGTCCACGGTCGGGTGCGTATGTGTCGTGATATTGCTGTGCAAATGTGGGTGGTGGAACTGGAAATGGTAAAGCCGGATCAACAGAATAAGAAGGCGCATGATACTGCGCAGGTACATATGATTGCTGGTCGTGAGGCTGATATGGTAATGAGAGACGTTGGGGCTGATGAGGTGCAGGTAGCCTGGGCTCATATGTAGGTAGATATGGGAGATTACTATTCAGAGCATTTGAACCATTGAAGCCATCTGGCTGGATTGTCTCATCAAATATGGAAGATGAGAAAGCATGACGATAAGTGCCTTCGCCAGATGATTGCGTTATGAAAGGATCGTATTCTGCAAAGCCCCCAGACAACTGATGCTGAGGTCTGGCATTGTAAGCTTGTGAAGGGGGAACACCAATGTACGGAATGAAATTTGCGGTGGGTAAAGTCATTGAGTCTGCATGATATGGCGTAGGAGTCGTATGAGGCATGGACATTAGGTGTGGGAAATCAGGGTGGCTATGTGTCTGCTGATGTACATCCGGCTGTTCTGTAGGAAGAAGAAACGCTTGGTTGGTTTGTACGGCAGGGTTGGGAGGGTATAACTGCGGCAAGCTCAGTTGTGGAAGACTGGGAGGAGGCGGTGGCAGTGGTCCAGAAAGCATACGCAATCGGTCGCTTGCGTCGCCATTATCGTCATCGTCATTAGATTCATGGCTGTTGGACATGTTCTCATCCTCCGAAGCACTTGTCTGAGATCCTCCTTCTTCACCGACAATGGTACGACGTTGTGCTGGACCCGAGAGAACATCCTCCAAGTACCTGGCTACCGTCTCTCTATCCTTTGCTCGTTCGAAGAGCTCACTTTTCATCATGCCCACCAAAGGCTCAGGGACTATGTTGATTTTTTGGTCAGTTTTGTCTGTGGCTTGCTGGATCTTGCGCAACATCTGTGCGGCCATATCCTGACGAGGAGGATATGACGGCGTCGCAGGAATCAGCGGAACCCCCGATGCTTCTTCAGACGTTGCATTATTTGCAGCAACTCGAGCCTCAACGGCCAGCCTGTCACTGATAGCGATTTCCCTCTGCTTCTTTGCGTACTGTTCCTTCTCTTCAAAAACTTTTTGCGCCATTTGTGCATCTCTCTCGTAGTTCCTCAGACCCTCTCCTCCAGTTGAAGGAGTATCCTTAACATTCTCTTTCTGACATCGGTTGTAGTCCCTTATCTGTTGCGGGGTGACTCCAGCTTCCATGAGCATGTAAAAGGCGCGCTGTCGTGACTTAAAGCAAGCAGCGTAGTACTTTGTACGTTTTTGCGAATCTTGAGGAATGTTGATCAATGGCGGCAAAGGTTCGTCCAGCTTTGGTGGTTGGATACCAAAGTGCACTTCGCGGTATTGTAGACGTTCACTTTCTTCTGCCCTGCGCTCTAGTGTTGCTAGATCTGGTTTGTTTCGCATCTTCTTGGTAGGTGAGTTTTGGGTAAGTTCTTCTGTGTTATTATGCGTTGGTGTCTTACCACCTGCTTTATTCTCTCCATCTTTGCTCTCTTCATTTGCTTGCTTCATTTTCTTCTTGATGTCCTCTGGGACCATGAGTGGGTGATGCTCAAAATCCCACAAACTCGGAATCTCTCCATGCAATGCCGCTTTCAGCGCCCTCCCATCTCCCTCGTAGTAATCGATCCACCGGTATAAGAATTCGATAAAGTTAGGCACCACAGCGCTGTTCACCTGTATGATATCGACTAGGATTCTCAACATGTCTTCCTCGTGCATCAGTTCTGGGTCTAGGATGCGGGGCCGGACTGTGATTGGGGGTGCGCTGTGTCGCGATCGCTGCGCAGTGGGCAGGTTTGGCTGTTCTTGATCGAAACGAGGCTTCTTCCGGGAGTGCGGGTTGACCGAAAGCTGACGAGCTGCAGTTTGATTCACATTCCACTGCACGTACCAAGTCCATAGTTCTTTGCCCGTCTCCCTTGCCTTGCGTTCTGTAAAGTCTTGTAGAAGTGCGAGGAAGATGGCATGGTTTGTATCCATACTGTAGACGACAGGGTTTTGCGTGTATCTTTCATATGGTATGATCATGGGAAGTGGTTCGACATTACCAACTACATCCTGTAGCCTAAGATAGCGATCATCGAAGAGGTCGAGGACCTTGCCATGAGAGGCCATGCTGTAGCAAAAGCAAGCAAGGCACTCGTTGCAAGATGAATATTCTTGGGTGCAAAGAAAGCGGGTTTGACAGGCGAGAGGTCCTGAGCGAGAGGTGACGGGTAGTTAGAGCGCGATCTTGCGTTGCTACGCAAACGCAAGGGAACAATAGCAGTGAACGGAGCGGGGAAGGTGAGTGTGGAACTGAGAGGTGAGAATGGAGCGACAGGAAATCTTATAGACAAGCTCTGCCTGCACGAATTGTTGGACATTGTGCGGATATTCTTCAGGAAACAAATCTATACCTGCTCTTTATTATAAGAGGCCCTCCGTATTTGTACACGTGCAATTGGGGTATCGCAGCAGCAGCGCATGTGCCCTACGCCTGCACCAGGCATGCATCAGGTCTATTCTAGCAGTTTGTTTGCTCATTTGGTGCTGTCCTTAATTTTCTGCAGAATGACGCTTGCCCTGTCCTCGACATCCTCGCGCACTCTCCTCCAGTCTGTGTTGTACACCTTCTTGACACCCTCCTCGAGGCTCCTGTTCCAGCGGTCTTTTGCCATCTCCGCCAACCCTACTGGGGCCTCCCGACTTGTCGGCTCTGGCTCTGGCTTCTTGGGCTCGTAGAACTCGGCAAGCACCCGGCGCTGTTGTCGTAACAAGGCGGCTTGCGTTGCGCGGTTTTGTGTGTGCAGCGATATTGTGAGATATAGGACCGCGGATGTGAGGGTGACGCCTCCAAGCTGCATTGGTTAGCCGAGAAGATGTCGCAGAGACATAGTACGTACGAAGCCGGTGGTGAAGCCCATGGCTAAGCTGCAGCAATTCGTGGGCGCAACGCTTAGGGAGTCTTTACTGAGGTACGCAAAAAGGCAATGCCTCTACAATTCGGCGTGCGAGAACTTTCCGAAGCACTCTGGAAGCTTGGGGCTACTCCTGTGCACGGGAGCGGGGATGGTGGTCGATATGGAGGAAAGTCGGCTCGGGTGTGAGGTCAGCGTTGGGGATCGCGACATGCCAGGAATGGCCAGTTACCGAAAGGGGTAATTTCTGGCAAAACCCGTCGATTACCTGGGAACTCAGTACCATGAGATTTCAGCCGCTGTACCATGACTATACCTAATTAGGCCCGATTTTCTGCCCCTCAAGCATTTTGTCTAGTTTTCACCTCGAATCTAAATCTGTTCCTCTCGCATGGCCTTTTTCCCTATATATTTTCGAGAAAACACAGGTAATTGTCCCAAGATTGAGAGGAGATGATGATGACGCTAACCTGTAAATGGTGAAGCCTGTCCTAACTAGGTATAGCTGTTGCTTGATAAAGCGAGCTGCACCATGAGAAATCCATCTAGGTAAGAGCTAAACCTATATGGTACGAGTCTATGGCGTAGTAGGTCTTTCCTATGGTCGGACGAGGTGCATTCTTCCTTGACACATCAATGCCTACAATTACCAACCTGTTGTACGATATCAACCCGCCATTTCAATTCTGATCAGATACAAGATGACCAATACACTACTACAAAGAGCATGGCTTACGCACATCACTGTTCACCTTTGAGATTGTAGCGTGGTACAATGAGCAAAGTCCGGTCATTCTCCGTTAGTTATTGTATATAAACATGCAACAAAAGACACTCAGTATCCCTGCTAATCATCTTCTGTTGTCTCGAAAATTGACATCGAGTACTCCGTCTTGTGCAACGCAACTAAGAGCGAGTGCACGCATTGCTCTAGCCAGAACTATCAGTCTGCTCTGTATATGTAATAATATGGAAAGATGTGTAGTATGTAAGACTCAGCACCAGTTGCCGACACCAATCTTCAAAACCCATTTGCGAGACAGATGCCTGTGGGCAAAATACATGGTTTGTGACGAGGCTGTCAGTCACGTGAACAGGCGTTGCCGCGTCGCGTGGTTTGTCGTCTGTGCGTTATGTTTTGCACGCAGTGACGCGATGTTGGTGCCTGATGGGACGATAGCGATTGATGAATAACGACGATTTTTGAACACCACAAACTACGGGCATACTTCAGACGATACGTTGGTCTTGTTATTTGATAACACCTATCCTTGATCAAACCAGTGCCCAGCTCTTATACACAATATACTCGCTACAATGGGCCCCGCCCCGCCTGGAAGCCAGGCAGCCCCTCTACCCACAAATCTACCCTTTCGTCTCGTGAGCAAGACCATTGGACAAGGCGCATACGCCTCGTCAGTCTCCATCTTCAGGCTGTCAAGCCCTCCTGCTAATGTCGCCTCAGGATCCGCAAAGCCGTACCCCATAATGCCCCCAAACCCGTCATCGCCATCAAGTTCATCAACAAAGAACATGCCCTGCGCACCGGCCGCCTCACTCCGAAGCAGATCAAGATGGAAATTGTATTGCATCAGCATCTTGGTAAACACCATAACATTATCCATTGCCTGGGCTCCGGTGAGGATGCACTTTGGACATGGATAGCCATGGAACTGGCAGAGGGAGGCGACTTGTTTGACAAGATCGAAGCAGACGAGGGCGTTGGTCAGGATGTGGCACATCTGTACTTCTCACAGCTTGTTAGTGCCGTCGCGTACATGCATAGCATGGGCGTGGCACACAGAGACATCAAGCCTGAGAATGTGTTGCTGAGTGCCGAGGGAGACTTGAAGCTGAGTGATTTTGGACTGGCAGCCCTGTTCAAGAAGGATGGACAAATACGGCTTTGCAATACTGTTTGTGGTTCGCCACCCTATATTGCACCCGAAATCGTCAGCGGGAGACGAAGCAAGAGGGCCGATGTCTTGGACGTGGGATACGAGGCCAATATGTGCGACATTTGGAGTTGCGGTGTTGTACTGTTCGTTCTTCTTGTCGGAAATACGCCATGGGATGAACCCACGATGCGATCGGAAGAGTTTAGGGAATACGTCGACACTGGAGGCCATACGACTGATGAGCTGTGGGCTAAGCTTCCGCCTGATATTGTCAGCTTGCTTCGAGGCATGCTCAAGGTCGATCCAAAACAACGCTTTACCCTGGACGAAGTGCGTACACATCCTTGGTTCACACGCAAGAACCCATACTTGACGCCTTCGGGACGGAACGCCAACCCAATTGGTCTGGCGACACAAATGCTTTCCCATCTACGCATCGATTTCACGCGACCACCCACCCAATCCCAACGCGGATTCTCGCAGGACGACGGCGATGCAATGGACATTGACACAGACGACGATCCCCGTCGTTCCAGCGCCATCCATATTCTCTCCTCCACCCAACCCGAAACCCCCTCCGGCGACACACCGTTTGACTGGGAACGCCCACCACGCCTCGCAACTCACGACGGCATGTCTGCCTCGCAACCCACCACAACCGGCCACGCAGCCATATACCACCCGGAAATAAGCTCGACACCCTTCCTCTCGCAACTCCCATCTTCAACTCAAGACGCCCTATCTCAAGACCCCAGCATGACCCAATTCAGCTCTCAACCCGGCGTGCCCCTAACCTTCACGCAAGCCGCCCGCAAATTTGCCGACATCCTCCCTTCCTACTCCATGGCCCGCTTCATATCCCCTCGTCCCTTGTCGCTTCTCCTCCCCTTACTCCTCGCGTCTTTGAACCGTCTCGGCGTCCCAGCTCCGTCCTTTTCCGCCCTTCAAATCGAAGAAGCAGAGCAGCTCGGCAGCGCAAGTATACGAGTCAAAATGGCGGATGGACGGCGTCAGGGACTCAATGGGCATGTGGTGGTTGAGAAGGCCGTGTATGAGGGCGCGTGGTATTGGGAGGTCAGGTTTGTCAAGGCGAGTGGGGATCCGCTAGAGTGGAGGCGGTTCTTCAAGAATGTGGTGCTCTGTGTCGGGGATGTGGTATTACGGCCGAATTAGGGAGGGGATGGTGCGAGGGATTTTGTGTAGTGTATGATAAAGTGGTGGTTTGAGCATTTTTTTTGTATGGTAATGTCTTAGTGGGTGGGTTGTAATGAACGGATATGGGTATCGGAATTTTGTTTTAAGTAAACCATAATATATATCACAGCGTAGTTCAAGAAAACGTTTCTTTTCATTCCTATTTTTTTCTTTTCGTCTCTTACAGAAAAGGAACATCGTCACGGAAGTTTCATGTCCAACCTCAAAAAAGTAAATACGGAAATCCGAATAGGGGAATATGATTTCTCTACATCAAACAGACTAACAATAGCATTACTCATTAAAAAAAACGGTGACAAAAGATGGCGTCGCATCCGTTCACTCAAAAATCTACATCATCACAGCGCTAACAAGCACCGCCACAACACCGACCACCACCCCACTAATCCTCACACTACTCGCCGCATCCTTCTGGCCACTGCCGCTACCCGGCCTCTCACCATCCGGACTACTCTGCGGGCGATCCTCCGCCTTCAGCTCCCCAGGACCATAAGGCTTATACCCACCAGACAACGAACTCTTATGTCCCGTGCTGCCCTGGACACATTTGCTGTCATCCTGAAACGCATCCCAGGCCTGCTTCCACGCGGCATCAGGATCGAAAAACGTTTCGGGCGTGTAGAAAATCTTGCAATCGCTCGCTTCGTAGATGTACTGCAGCGGGGTACCAGACGCATCGCCCTTGCGGACCTGATCTTGCGATTGCAAGCGCGAGGACTCGTCGCCTGCGCGTGTCGTGATTTGCGGGGTGTTGGCGATACCTGAGAGGACGGAGTCTGTGGCTGAGAAGGCGGAGAGGTCGGCGAGGGAGCTGAGGTTCAGGGCTACCTCTGCGTACATTTGCCAGTAGAAGAGGGGCGTGACTTCGCCGCCTTTGCTGCCGGTGACGGTTTGGATGGGCTTGTTTTCTGGGCGGCCGCCGACGGTGACGGCTTTGACGCCGGCAATGTTTTTGAGTTCCTCGTGGAAGGAGGCGCACGAGGAGCCGCAGAGGGCGTCGGTGTACATGACGATGTTGGAGGCGTTGAAGGGGGTGGGGCGCGTGCCGTTTACGAAACGGAAACCTGCGGGGAGGATAGAGAGTTCGTCTGTGTACTGCGTTTTTGTTAGTTTGAAAAATATCACGGGATTACATAGCTCATGGCCTTACGTTGTATCGCATAGTCGAAGTAAAGCTGTCGCCATTTAGGTTCACAGGTCCGTTGAAGTCATTCCAGTCCTTGAAATCGGCTCCATCGCTGTTGAGGAAATGCCACCAAGACCAGTACCTGTAAATGTTGCTGTTCTCAATATCACTCCTTGTGAAACGAGTAAACGTCCTCGCCTTGGAAGGATCGCCCCTAATCTCATTGACAGCATCGCCAATCTTGAGAAAGGCCTCAGTCGCCCTGTACCGTTGTGCAGAAAAGGGCACCATTTCAGGGAAGAGCTGCATGAAGACGTCCAAGAGGAGATTGGTGTTGCCGCCACCGTTTTCACGCAAGTCGATGATGAGTTTTTGCTTGTTGTCGCTGACGCAGCTTTCAAGGAATCTGGCGACCACGGCCTGGAATTCGTTGTTGAAATCCGTCTCGTCGATGTCAGAGCTGGGGTTGCTGAACGAGATAATCTTGAGCACAGCGACATCGTCATAGCCGTTTCCGTTGAGGTAGTATCCTGCTACAACTTGGCTTTGTGATTCGACAACAGCTTCTGCATAAGGACTAGGGATAGTCTGGCGCTTGTTGCGGAGGTGGTAGATACCAGTAGGAATACGGGGAACGGGGTCAGGAGCGCTGGGAGAGATGACATAGTTGAGACTCGCGGGGCTTTTTGGCCCTTCACTATCTGTCTCTGGCGAACCGGTTGCGGATTTCGTACTGGCTGTGGCTGGCTGGGCAAAAAGGCGGCCTGTACAGAATGCGTCGAAAAAGGATGGTCCGTCGGTCACACCGGTAAAGTCTTCCTCTGATCTGGCAATGTTGGTAACAGCGACTGTTGTACCGTTCGCCCACGTGACCTCTGTGCTGTTGCCGTCGTATTTGCTCTGTATCATGAAGCTACCAGGGTTGTCCGTATCTCCTTTGGCCATCATTTTGTTGATCAAGCCATCCGAATCAATGTACTGTGACCATGAGACAGATAGGAGGAAGGCATAGGGGTCTTGACCATTAAGCTTGGAAATCTCGGAGACATCTGAGCTACCTTGAGCCAGAGCCAAGACGTCGTCGGCAACGTACAGCTTGGGCAGTGATTTGCCGTCCTGGGAAATGGAAGCCACATTAAAGGGACGGAGGAATTTGAAAACCTGGAGTATGTCGGGTCTGTAGTTGAAATGGAAGTTGCCAGTTCGAATTGTGATGTTCTGAATGGCGAGTTGGACAGCGTACTCGGACGAAAACGAGTCAAGATTGCTTTTGATGTTGTCGAGTTCCGCCTCGATATCTAACGGACCCCACTCCCAATCATCTCCTGGATTCTTCAGCCATGCAAGTTCTGACTGGAATTGCCATATGTTTTTTAATTCGTCGAGGAGAAGGCGATTGCCTTGGACGTCAACAGGGACAGATTCGAGACACTCGAAGGCGGCTTGCGCCTCGATATTGGTGGCTCGATCCAACTGAGCGGCAACAATTGCGCAAGGCTCAGAGGAAGATTGAGCTGCAGCCCATGCTGCGGAAGCCACAAGCAATACGCCCTTGAGCATATTGGACATGCGGAGGTGGAAATCGACAAAAGTACAGCAAACAAGGGTATCGGGCAATGTCGAAGCAACCAAATAATTAAACCCCAAAAGAATGCCGCTGAAGGGCAGAAGAACAAGAGTATGTGAATAAAAGGACACTAGCCGCTGGGGCTGTGAAAAGCTCTAGGATGAATCGACGTCTAATCTGAAAGGCTGCAGCATGGCGCCTGACCTTGAACGAAAATAGAGGAAGACAGAGGCGCCACTCGGATTACTTTTGTTTCCCAGATAGGCTGCCGGTCTGCCTAAAGTGCAGATTGACAGGAGACGCCTCTTGCACTATGCCGTGGGGGGTATGGGGCGTGCTAGTAGACTATTCGTGCGCCCGTCCGTTGTTCAGCTTAGGGGATCCACATGCACCAGCCACTTTCGCTTCGCTCTGAATGAATTGTCCTCCAGTCAGTGCCTGGAGCGCTTGTCACATACCACTTGGCGGTACGGGCCTTATCCCCAGATTGTTGCTGCGCGCCGCATCTTCCTTCTAACTCTTGGCTCAAACACGCGATTGCATCATAGCCATTGCTGGATCAACTCACCGGCCGATCTTCCCCTGTTCCCCTAGGGGAAAGAAGAAGTGTCGGTCGGCTTCATTCCCGAAAGAAGTCGCTGTGGTACTTAGCGCTGGTCCGCGAATTTTCCTTCATGTCTTCGGCTCTTCACGCCCTTCCGAGACAAAGGGCTGGGCATGCGCCAAGCGTGGCACAGGAAGTAGGCAAGCCAGCAACGCCAGGCGCTGTTGTTCTGACCGGTCGCGCCCGTCGCGTTCGACTATACCGTGTTTGAATGAGAGAGTCAACAAGAACTGTGTCAAGGCTGTCGAGCTGGTTCGAATGCGCTGTCATTGGGGGCCGCGCCGACGTGGTGCCGGCACAGACAAGAGCTTGCTGGCGCCATGCCAAGGTATTTTGCTCAGCTTCCAGGGTATCACAGCATGCACGAGACACCGAGAATACTTCATCTCGTGCATGCTGCAGGAGAAATCGCTAAACAACGCCTTCATGCGTTAGGCCGACTGCGCGATTACTTGTGAATGTAGCTTCGTTGTGCAAGTCAACAGGTATCGTGCCGGACCTGCGACTAGCCAAGCCTACAAAGAGCCTCATCGGCCTGTCGAACAAGGCTCCTTTGTCTCACGTCAAGTATGACAACATCAGCATTTTACGTAGATCCATGCCTGAGGCGTTCCGGCCCCCAGCCAGGCCGAAGCAAAGAAGTATGCATGGCTTGACAACAGGATGATTCTTAGAGGGGTACAAGACCAATCACAAAACAGCAGCCTCATAAGGATGCCTAAACAACCCGCGACCAAGCCACCTTATACTCAGCATCGAACCCACAAAATAAGTACGCTGATGATGGAGCTTTGATTAACGTACGATAGGCAAAGCATGCCTGGATATGTTCTGGCCCCTAAAAGCCATGACTCTTCACCCACCAACACCTTGTGCTCGTTGGATACGCAACGGCAGCTGACGAAAAGACTAAAGTCATCACTGGACTGGGATCTCTGTATGTTCCCTACTCAAAAAAATATGTATAGGCATGTAAATGTGCACACAATTCTGTATGTCAAGGCTGAGCAGGTGCAACTCTGTCAAAGTGCCTGTGCATGACGCTGATACCCTACCTGCAATCCACATAGTAAAAGATGTAACTTCATCGTCCAGTGTACTAGCGCATTGATCCTCCTGGGAGAAAGAAAGAGACACTACAAGGGGATTTATTTGCTGGGTATCTTGGGACCACACAACAAAGTGACCGTCTATTCCTTAACGTAGGCAGTTGCAGTATGAAGCGTTGATGTGTTGACTTATCATCATGTTCGATTCTGTACGGATAGTCGTCTTGTGATGTTTGTGGCATTATCTAACACCGTGCTAAAAAAAACAGCAATTCAGCAAACAAGGCCAAATCTCAACCCCATGGGAAGATTCGTTCCTGCAGTGTTTGCAAAGTACTGGTGTATCCGGAGACTATGGGCACATCCATACATCCTTCTCAAGACTACCGAGGACGACGACCTATGTTGATTGTGACGTCTCTGAAGTTTGTGCCGCTAGACCCAACCTATCCTCAATCACGCCTACGATTTCCCTCCAATCTTTCATCGCACCGCCTCCTATATCTCCACATGCCAACTCTTTCTCCATTGGCTGTAGCACTTCAAACCAGCCTCCATTCTTGACGCCCCACTCCTCTTCCAAGATGCGCACTTGTTTGCTTGTAATAGGCTGATACCACATTGCCGTGTTCATACTTGGTGCGACTAATATCCTTTTCTTTTGTATACCCTCCTCTTGCTGTGGCCACTTCACGCCCGGTATCCTCCTCACAGGGTCAATTAAACCAGTGGTGTCCCAGGCACGAACGACGGAGAGAAGAAGGTTGTCCGACCAGCCTTGGGTAATTTTAGCGAGTTCATTGGCGCTCAAGGGAGCAATAACCATAATATGGGCCCATCGCCGTAGCTCTATATGTAAGATCTTGTTGCCCCGCACCCATGGCTCTCTCCACTCGTCCTCGTCAAAGTATATTCCCTGTACATTTGGCAGGGCCTCTATATCCTCTAGTGAGGGCTGTTCTCCACTCTGGCCCTGCAAGAAGTTTGTCGCGGCAGCCGTGAATATAAGCCGTATTTGTACGTTGGGGTGCTTTGCAAGCGCATTGATTATGTTTGGTATTTTGATGGTCGCTACCGATCCTGAAGCACACAAAAGGACATGTATCTTGTCATCATGATGGTCGAAGGCAAACGGATCGGCTTCTGGTGGATCTCGTACTTGATGTTGGACAGGCCGAATATTGAGGGGTTTGAGGTCGCGTATGTCGGCAGTCATGATGCGCCGCTAGATGTTAATGCGGTATGCTGTTAGTGTATGAGCAACGGCATCTGCAGCGTGGATGTCGAATCTCTGTAGCGTGACGGCTGCATTACAAATGCCTATCACCATGTCATAGCGGGACAGTTGATGTGAAGTTTAGCAGACGCTAACTCGCTTAGTATCGGATCACCCTCTGCAAGGTGTGTCAGCACTCTAAGAGCAACCGTCCTTTCACGTTCAACACGAACATCACAATATATGGCAAGCAGCACGGATGCGTTTTCGTGCAATCAAAACACGTCTGGCGTTTACACTGACACGAACAATCTTCCCGTGAAACGGACAAAAAATCATCGTTCGGAGAAAACTCTTATCTCCGTTTCTTCCAGTCTTCAGTACTGAGTTGGTGCAGATGCACCAGGATTTTTCAATAACACATGTGGCCAACGAATGATTGCATTGCTTCAACAGAAGCCTGATTTGTCAGGAGTGACATGCCAGCCCTTGTTTCCCCTACAAACGTGTTGCGGAATAAGTAAGTACGCACCCAGACAAGAAATTGGTTAAATCCGCTCCTAGAAGTCTGCCACAGCTAGTACAGCTCTGGCGCGCATACTAGCGTATCTCAGCTCCGGGTTCTATCGAATGACAACAAGTTTTATAGTACTCTTTCAACCGCATTGGCTCTAAAAGGTGGCTCTCATCCAATAGAAACCGATTTTTATTTCGACAAATACCCGCTTATACATCCCCCTACTATCGGAAATAACCGAGCTTATGTTGGAGTAGGGCTACATACTATGACTTCTTGAAAGGCAGGGGTGCTGTGTGTTTCTGGATTTTCGGACTTAACCCATCCCCCGCACACTCCGCGCCTGCTTGCCATCATGCTGTAAGGCCACCCAAACCTTATGTACCAACAAGCACTATACTTGTGGCTTCGTCCGTTTCTCCACGTAATCCCTATTATACTTCTTTTCGAACGAGAAAATTTGGCCGTCCAATACCACTGCCTGGTGCCAAGAAATATATATATATATATATATGGCTGAGGAAACATCTTGTCACAGCACGCATCAACAATATCAGTACTCAAACAAATCTTCATACAATTCAAAATGTCTCTTCCCACCGCTCCTCTCGGCCGCAATGGCCCCCAGGTTAATCGTCTGGGATTCGGCCTGATGGGACTGTCCACGGCATACGGACCACTCAAACCAGACAGCGAGCGCCTAGCTCTCCTCGATCATGCTTACGAACTAGGAGAACGTTTCTGGGACACTTCTGACATGTGGGTCTACTGAGAAGCTTTACATCGTCCCCGATCTACAAGTGCTAACATCACCTCTAGGTATGGTGATAACGAACCCCTGCTCGGAAAATGGTTCAAAGCCAACCCATCCAAGCGTGCAGACATATTCCTTGCCACCAAATTCGCCATCAAAGATGGAGGCGCCGGTGGAATTGATTCTTCCCCAGAATACGTCAAGGTTGCCTTTAAGAAATCACTGGAGCGCCTGGATACTCCATACGTCGATCTCTACTACTGCCACCGCGTGGACCAGAAGACACCCATTGAACTTACCGTAAAAGCCATGGCCGAGCTTGTCAAGTCCGGAAAAGTAAAGCACCTCGGACTTTCCGAAGTCAGCTCAGACACCCTGAGAAGGGCACACAAAGTCCACCCCATCGCCACCGTGCAAGTCGAGTACTCACCCTTTGCACTCGAGATTGAAACCGAGCAGACCAATCTACTCAAGACATGCCGCGAGCTGGGCGTCGCCGTCGTCGCCTACTCGCCACTCAACCGCGGCATGCTGACTGGTGCCATCAAGAGCCCCGATGATTTCGACGAGACCGACTTTCGCCGCATGTCACCTCGATTCAGCAAGGAGAACTTCCCGAAGAACCTGAAGCTTGTCGATCGCATCGTCGAGATTGCAACGGCAAAGGGCGTTACGCCAGGACAGCTGACACTCGCATGGCTCATGGCACAGGGCGACGACATCTTCCCCATCCCAGGTACTACGAACCCAAAGAGACTGGAGGAGAACGTGGGAAGTCTCAAGGTGCAGCTTACGGAGAAAGAGAAGAAGGATATTCGAAAGGCGTGCGATGAGGCTGAGGTTGTTGGTACAAGGTACCCTGAGTCGTTCATGCAGACTTGTTACGCTGATACTCCGCCTTTGGAATCGTAAAAAAATGGTACGGCAAAGAACGTGTTACTTGATTTAGCACCTCTCACATCTATATCCTTATAGTACACGCGTTTCTTGTACAGTTCCATAGCAAAGAACAACACACAAATCTTAACAAAATAAAAAAAACATCATTTCTCAAGCTTGCTCTGCAATTCGCGTGATAAGACCATTCTGCCTTATGAAGCCCGCATTCCACGTCTTCAAAGGACCATCATGTGCCATGTATATATCAAAATTCCGCAGCGCCTCTGGAATGAACTTGTACATCTCCGCCAGAGCAATCTAGAATTTCACACGAGTCAGCATATCAATATCCATAACCCTTTGTCTTTCCACTTATACGATAAAAAGCAAAAAAAGGTGATCAGGTCTCAACTTACATTCTTCCCAACACAAGTCCTCGTCCCCGCCCCAAACGACAGTAAATTCTTCTCCATCTCGAAATTCCTCGCTTGGCTCTCCAACCACCGCTCGGGCCGGAACTCTTCTGCATCGTCCCCGAAAACCTCGGTGTTGAACTGAATCGTATGCGGATTAACACCGACGACGTAGCCCGAGGGGATATTCTGGCCCCTGAGCACGATACCCTGCGGCGGCGCGACACGAGGCAAGCTAAAGCCCACAGTGGGGAAAAGACGCAACGCCTCTTTGATACACGCACCGATATACGGGAGATGCTTTACTGTTTCGTTGTAGGAAACCGGGGCGCTGGGGAGATGGTTTTTTTGATTTAATTTCCTCGACTGCGAGATGCATGCAGCGCGGGTTCTTCATCAGAGGGTAGAGCACAGAGTTCATGGTTGAAGCGGTGGAGTCGGAGCCTGCCATGAGACCCGCCCAGGACTCGAGCGTGACGTCGCGGTGCGTGAAGCCTTTATTCGGCGCCGCCTGTTTTAACTATGTGGAGTAGCTGCGAGAGGATGTCTGGGCGTGAATCCTTTTCCTGGGTCGAGCGCTCCATGCGGAGTTGGGTTTGCTGCTTTGCGGCGTAGGTGGTGGCTTGGATTGCCTGGAGGTGGCCGAGGGTGCCAGGGATGAAGATGGAGAGGAACATGAGGGCTTTGCGTATGTAGTTTGAGGCGGCGGCGATGACGTAGATGAAGGGCACGGCTTTGTCCAAGGCGTTGAGGAAGGAGCCTACGTCGCCGCCCGTCTCGAGGTAGCCAAAGCGGCGGCTGAAGAGGACGGGGCCGAGGACGTCGTGGGGGTAGAAATTGATCCATTCACCTAGATTGATTACTTCTTTCTTTACAGCGAGCTCTCGTACTTGCTTCGTGAATAGAGTGATGCATTCATCGATCGCAGGTTCGTTTCTCAGCACACTACTCATCTGATAGGCTGACGAGACGATCTTGCGGCGCTTTGTATGTTTCTCCTCATTCGTTTCGCTGAAAAGATCGGCATTTTCACTGAGACCTTTGGGGAGTAAAGATATGGTACCTGCGACGGACATGCAGTGTCAGCGGTTATAATTTCAGAGATTTACTATGATAATGGCTTACCAGTCGGTCTTTGGCAGAGGACTATGCGAAGAGTAGATAAGAGAGATTACGCTTGCATCAGCACAGCTCACTTCTTCTGGAGCAATGCATATGAGCGGTCTGTATTTCTTATGAAGTTTGTTCTGCGCGACTTCCAGGTCGCCTCGGAGCATGCGGTACACTGTGATCAAAGTAAGACTTAAGCTTGACTGAGCTACGAAAGAGGTTTGACTCTTCAGCAGAAATCAATAGAAACACTTATTGGCCATCTGTTAGCATTGGCTTCATGGTGTCAAACAGAAAAGACATTACCTCGTCCATGTTCGGGAAACTGCAGGCCATAGTGGACCAGGTACACGTGCAAGTGGATAGAGTGTGCGACAATAGATGATCCAAATAACCCAATAAGCAACGAATGCCCCAAAAAAAGATAGGCCACTGTAGTAACAGATATGATACTAAGTACAGCCATTCTAAACTGTTGTGTGGGGTTTGGATTAGTCAAAGAAGATGTTGACGCTGTTGACGCTCTCTTATAGTGAGGGTACAAGAGCACTTACTATGGCGGTATGCCAAAGGCTGGTATATTGGCCATTAACAAGGGAGTGTTTCAAATTGGAGTAGACATATGTATACACTGTATCTAGGGTAGCTTCCGCTGAAAGCCTGATGTCTATCTCTGATTAATAAGTTGAGTCTCTCGGACACCTGATAAAGTCGGAGATAACGTCGCCCAACACCACCAGTATCATTATACTCGTCCTTCACTTAGTCGTAGTCAAGATAGAGTGTGTGTATCTATCAAGTCTAATTTTATTGAAAATAATAATGTGGTCATGTTGATATTTCGCAGTAAAAATTGCTTTCTCCATGTAAAAAGAATAGTCCGATTATCATTTTCAGCGTATCTACGTACAAAACATGTACTGGTAGCCACAGTAAATGAGCTTACCGCTAGTAGCAGTAGCAAACTGCTTCGTCTCATGCTATACTGTATCAAATCTTATTGCTTACAACTCTAACTCTCACTACCTGCACTCTAGACATGTCACTGGTGCGCTCCCCTGAACCCAACCAAGAGGTTCGATCTGGTTCGATCTACTATGGAGATAGGCCAAGTTATTGTGTACAACCCACTAAACATGGATGTAACACAGGTAGGGTTAGGGGGAGTAAGATCTATACTGTGTACAGCGTAGCTCCCGTTAACAGCCAAGTGTTTCTATATTATAAATCGGTGATAAGAGTCGGACGAAAGGACAGCCTAATTATCATTTCCAGCGTCACCACGGACGAAACGTCTGCCGGTATTCACAACATATAAAACAACATCGCGTACGGCATGTGCATAGCTCTACATGTGTAGTGTGTACTGTCACGAGTTGCCCTTTTGGTACGTGCATGGGCTCGCGTATTTGGTCCGTTTCCGGTCAAAGACCCTGTCGATCACCATCAAGCGAAAAGGTCGACGGGTATGACTTAGCGAGTGTGGAACAATTCCGCAGCGCGACTGAGACATGGCAATTGTGACAAGGGTAGACACGATATGTAATGAAGTCATGCTCGGAGACGGGACTTGGAAGTAAGTATTGATATGATGTGAACAGGACAAAGTCTCCTTCCAAAGCGTGCGAGATGACGCGGCAAAAACAGGGCCTGACGTTGCTTTGGCCGATCGTCTACTCAAGTAGATGAAGATGTAGGCATGGTATGTAGTCATCAAACCTACGATCTACCGTCTACTAGTACCGACCACCTACGTACGTACCTATGTACCTTCCCAACTCTTTGCTGCTGGGGTGTGGACTCTTCGCCATTTTCGGTGCAACTAGTCCTTTTGCTTACGGACGTAGTACGTAGTACTAGGCCGTGTGGTACCTTCGGAAACAAGTCCGTAGCCGCCTCTCGCAGTGCATGACAAACACGGACATTCCAACTTGCTCAGCACGGCAAAACCTCCGAGTTTTTCCATTCCCGCAGGGCTTAACACTAACGTTTCTTAATGCCCCCTTACCTCTGCCCGCTTTTTTTTTCCTCTCTTCGCGCTTCCCAAACTTCCGGGATTGTAACCAACGAAAAATGACTCTCGTCTCGCCACACCACTCCAAAAGGTAACCATGTGGCCGCCCAAAACCCAATTTTTTTTCCCTCTCTTTACTCAACCTTTCTAAGCACGTTTTTTTATACGGCATAATTGGGCCCCCCCACCCCTACCCTCTCTGACCCTTAAACATGCAGTACGACCGAGTGCACCTCGTACCGTTGAGCCTCTAAGGATGCGGATGTCTGCATATGTTACACACGCTCGGTCTGATGAACCGTGTATGGAAAACCCTAATCTTAACACCGTGTAGCGACGAGGAAGGATGGCGGGAGGTGTCTCGGGTGTTTTTCTCCAACGGTCAGCAGACATGTATGTACCATGGGTGGTTTGTGTAACCCACCCGTAGAGAGAGTGTAGATCTTTTTCAGAATTGAGCAAAAAAAAAACATCGTACGACTCGACGTTTGGTCATCCATGTATTAGATCGGGTTCAGGTGTGTGGATATGGCTCGGGGAACGGGGAAAACATCGAGCCCACCCAATGCGGCAAGTGGAAGCGTTGGGCAACGAACGGGGGGGCGCGCAGATCGGAGATTCAGCCCTTCCTTTGTGGACGGGGCATGTGATAAGTAATCACCATGTTGTGTGGCAGTTTCACTACTACAGGCACGGTTACATACATACGAAGGTACGAAAAGTATCCGTAAAACCCAAGGCGGTTTTATAGTAGAAAGAAAGAAAAAAAGAAAACCCCGCCGTTAACGATGAGCAATGCTTACCATCCGATCGTCAAAAGGGTCATCTGTCTTTAAATCGTGGCAAAAATGTTATCGCACCCTTTTCACCGCGCACCACCCGCCTCTGGTTAAACCAATCTCCGCGACGGGCAAAGACAATACCCCAAAAACCCACGTTTTTTTCTGTTCTTCCCCAATTGCCCTTCTTACCAGACCAGTGCAATGCCGAGGTCGATCCTCACGGGTCCGGGCAAATCCGCGCCAACCATACATCGCGGAGTCTTGTCCCACTCTCTTCGAAGGGACCCTATATCACCCCCCAAAAAAAACCAAAAAGGGGCCCCACAGAAGATGCTTTCGGGGTCATGCACGAGCCCGACAAAAGAAAGCCAAAGACGCGTATATACTTACTAACTTACTATATGGTATAGTATCTTTGTGGTAATGCCCATTTTACGTATACGAGTTAGGGACCCCCTTCGGGCACTCGCGGAGTAGTGACGTTCACTTGAACATTAACTTTTGCGGGGAGGGGAGGGAGGGGGGGCCACATACTTGTGACAAAGACGCATTGTAGAGAAGTAGGCCGAGTGTACCGAGCATTGGCAGGGCCCAACGCGAACGCCACGCCACGCGAGATTGATGGAGAGATTTCCGGAGTAAAGTTTGAGGGGCTCGAGGTGCATATGGGTGTGACTGATCGCGTGCGATGATACACTAATCAAAGAGCGCTACCACTCGACAGCAAGGACTACCCTGGAGAACACGATGTAGGTGAACGCGTTGGGAAAATATCATCATGAGTTCTTCTATAGAGTCAGACAGGGTATCTTGAAAAACCCCCAATTAGGGTACAGTAGTGCTGTTCAAACCGTCCATCATTCCTGCAGTCCCTGTTTCCTGCGTCCCGTATGCAACCCCCACCCATATACCGCAATCCAATGCAGGGTGTTAACCACATGCTCACCCGGATGCCAATGGTGTAATGTCCGGGGGGCTGTGAAGGATATACTAGTTACATCATCCAAATGCGTCGATCGTCGTCGGGTGGACTCGCTTGTATGCAAATAAGGCGAGGGCGACCGAAGGAAGGAAGGAAAGCCAATAGATCAACCAGTAGAGTTGAGCAATCTCAATGTCTTGGTCGCCATTTCAGCGTCCACTGGAAGCGAACAAAATCTCTCAGCTTAGCTTGCAAACATGAAAAGACATGGATCGCAGATAGCAACCCTATTGTAATCGAACCGGAGAAGAAGAAAAAACCGAGAAAGAAGTAATGATAAAAGAGACAAGAAGGCAATCTTACAAACAGCCGCCCTATGCTAACGTTTTTTTGTTTTGGCCTGGAAGCCCACAGAACGCCACAGTCTGCGACTGGATGCATGGAGTAGGAGAAGCGATGCGATGGTCGACGAAAAGGGTGTCGGAGGAAGAATAAAAACGACTCAGGATGAGCCAATGGGCCGGATAGTGTTTAACGGATTGGGACAAGTTCGGTTATGCTGAGGCGGCAGCGGCGGCGTCTAGACCACGTAGCTGAGGTGCATATTTGGGGTGCTTGATGAACTTGGGTACCGAATCCTGACTGGGGTTAGCGGTGGGCTAAAAAGAAGGCAAGTACAGGAGAGACTTACACTGGACATCAGCTTGAAAATGGATTGTTGTGCCTTGTCAAAAAGCGAGGCAACTTCGTTGAGACTTTGCAGCATAGCGGCATCATCTCCAACAGCACGTGTCATGCGAGTGGCTAGCTGCGTACGAAGGCTGTGGTCAATGTTGAGCTCGTTAGGTGAGCCAGGCGCCAAGAATGCATTGTACAAGCCTGTAGATGGTTAATGCGTGGTCATAGAATAGGAATCCTCAAACTCACCATAAGCGGCAGCGAGTGTTTCACGAATGATCTCGACCTTGTTTTCCCCCTTTTCGTTGACGGCATCCTTGTACTGCTTGTTGAACTGCTGGACCTCGAGGAAGAAGGAAAGGTTCTCCTCGCACATGGTCTCCTTGAGGAACTCGCGGTATAGAAGACGCCAGGACGGGTTGCGGATGATGACGTTGGTGCGGTTGCTGTTGGAGTCACGAGTAAGACCATCTCTCGTCTTGACTGCCATGTCTCCACCTGATGGTACCTCCTCGAGGAGCCATCCTGCTACACGCTCACCGTGGTTAGTGATGTAGTAATGGACTTGCTTTGATGGCTGGAATTGTTGATCAGAGTTGCGAGGATCGACAGGAGCAATGAGCTTGAGCTGCAAGAACAATGATCCGACCTCAACAGCCTCGCGGGGATCAACCATGGTGGAGCAGTCCATCAGCCACTGTGCGGCATTGCGGCCGTTGAATGTGTACTCGTACTGACGCTGCGAGTTTGGTCGGTGCTTTACCAGCTTGACGCCAATGTCGCACTTTGAGAACTCATGTATCGAGTCAGAGTCTGACTGAGTCTCGTTTGCAGTGGTACCAACGAAGCGGCGGAAAATGATCTCGACAGTCTGCTCGTCGTGATGTAGCTTGTCCGTTTCTGTGTTGCGCTCCAGGACGACGAGTTGGCGTGGGTTTCTGTTGGACTCAATTACAGCCCTGACATGAGCTGAAGCAATACCATTGCGTGTGCAGAATCGCTCGAGAATGTGAATACCCTTGGGCGTAAGCTGCCAGACAGAGCTCTTGTTCATGAAGTCAGTTTTGCCTTCTACCGATTCGATGAACTTTGCTTCTAGGAATCTCTGGCAGACTGAGCGAGCCATTTCCTTGGCCATGGAAAAGGTGGTGGTAGTGGTTGTGGTAACGACACGTGATGAGTCCTTGGGGTCTGGCATGCGGTTGGATTGAGAGAATTTGAGGGATCCGAGGTTGGTGATTGCTTCATCTGATGTGAAGGTGTAATCGATCATCCTAAAGCGCACTCGGTGGGCTGAGAGGGGAAGCGAGACCATTAATGTTGCGAAGAGATCTTTGAAATCCTGTGTTGCGGGTTAGTTGAGTTTTTTTTTGAATTACTTGCAATCCAACAAGGCTGAAAAAGGCACAGCTGCTCACTGCCCGGCAGTTCAGTCGAAGGCGATAGCCAAGCCATTGTGATTCTGACAGAACATTGCTCGCTTCACCAGAACCGCAGATGCAACGGAGAGTGCTTATCACAGTCGAATGGCTGATACATTTTTGGCCATGACAAAGACAATAGCGTCTAGAATGCTCAGTGGCTTCTTCAGTGCGAATGAGCCTTTTTTTTACTTTGGCGGACCAGAGGTGTTAACTTTGGCACCCGTCCACGTGGGCCAGCCACGTGGTGGGCTCGGCAAAAACAGCGACCGAGAGGATCAACAGTAATAGACTATGGTACTCACTCTTGTGTATGGCCGCTCGTCGTCCGTCATGCGGAGCAGGCGTGAACTTGTTTGATGCATCTTGTCGGGTTTCTGTGCTCTCAGTCTCTGTGGGTGGCGTAGTGTGGTTGTCGCCTCTTGAGCAATGACGTCGCCGTCGCGGTGGGTGGTGGGAGCAGGCTCTCGGGCGGCTGCAAGATCAGGAGCACGGGCAATGGATTGGGAGGGGCGTGGAGCGCCGGTCGGGTGGAAGAGCGAGTCTGCGGGGCTCTTGGAGGCGGACGAGGTGGAGGGCGAGCGGGCTAGTTCGCGGCTGCCTTTGCGCAGCAGAGGAAAGCGCGAGAGGGTGTAGCGGCGGGCGTGGTTGATGGAGCGGGACGAGGACGAGGACGAGGAAGGCGGGGGCCGATCGCTCCTGGCTGCTGAGGAGGAGAGGGAAAGAGGGTCGGCGGGAGCAGAGGCAGGTGCAATGGGGTGGTGGTCGCGGACGTCTCTGTGGCCGTCGTCGTGTGGTGGTTGTGATGCGGCGGCGGCGGACGAGGCGGCGGCGGCAGCGGGGGAGGGCTCAGGGTGGGTGTCGAGGGCGGTGGTGGCTCGGTTTGGGCTGTCAGGCACAGGAGAGACAGACGGTGGAGAGGGAGGGAGCGAGGTGGTAGGGAAGGGCATGCCGAGTAGAAGATGTTCGCGGAGAGGTAAATCGCGGGCCTCGCTCGCTGGAGGGCAATGTGTGGGTACCCTAGCTGGGATTGGCCTTTGTCTCTGCCGCTCGAACAGTCGCTCACACCGCCGTGCTAAGACAGCTAAGAGAACCTAGCACGGCGCCGAATTAGCCCTGGACCCGAGCCATGACAAAGGCTCTAGCCACGCCCGCCTCCTAGTCGCATACGAGACACATGGCCGCCTGCACGTCCGCCGACCATGGGAATACAGCACCTGGCCGTGGGCTTCCACGAGGCATCCCTGCCCTCTGCCGCCCCCTGTCCAGGCCTGCGAGACGCTGTCCACGGCCTCGCCACAGGGGGTCCGCTCCAATGGGTCCTCTTACTTACTTAGTTGCTAAGTACTATCGTCTGGATGTATCAATATCTGTACGTATGTATGTATGTATGTACGTTGTATACATGTATACATGTATGCTGGATGTACGTATGTACATACAATAAATCATGTGCACATGTACCAACACGCTACCTGCCTTCCCTGTAGGTAATGTATATACAGTACACACATATGTACACCCACACCCATACACCCTCTCAAATCACCGCACGCAGCCACGCGAGACGACCCAAAGACGCCGCCGCTGCTCTGTTGAGAGGGCCCGTCTCTCCCACCACATGGCCTGACATAACCCAGCTGCCTGTCCGCTCTGCATCGCCGTTGCTCCCACCTTGCCAGGACCCGTTCCCGCGTAACCTTTGTGCTGGCCAACGACCCTTTAGCTCGCTCGGCCCACGACGCCGTGGTGGTACACTCGACTACAGTAGTTAGCCTGCGCCCCCCCTTCTCTTCCCTCTCTCTCTCTCTCTCTCTCTTTGGTGTGTACAAGACGACCCACGTCCACACGCGACGCCTCCCCGGAACATTGTTGCTCACACGGCCAAAACGTGGCCAAGTACAGTTGACGGCGCAACCTTGGACGCACGCACATGTAGGTGGGTAAGTAGATACAGACACATGTAAGTGTATGTAAGTATGGACGTACGTACCCAGACGCGGTCAGCGTGGCTGCATTGCTCGCCATGCAACAGGCGCCGGGCTTGTCGGCCAGACTCGAATGGTTGAAGACAAGGCGTGCCCAATCACACCTTGGCCTGCACCACAGCAACCATGCATTGTCGTCATCACCTCTGAGCAGACTCGGCAGATCTGCGCCCTATCTACCTCATGGGCGATCAATGCCTGATTGCGAGCTTGGAACACTGCCAGTGGAGATTGTCGTGTTTCCCAGCCTGCAGCCTGGAGAACAGACGATGTGCCGCCATTCCACGTGTGCAACCCCACCTCAAGGCCCTCACGCCCAACGCCTCGTCGGCCTGCCATGCGAGACATGCCTCCTTGGCCACACGCATCTGCATCCATGTGCATCCATGTGCATCCACCTACTGACATTACATGTATTACATAGGCCCACACGCCTGCCCGTGTAGTCCAAGTCTAAGTAATCGCCCTGGACCCTTCATCCTTCCCGACTCCTCGTGCCTCTCCCTCTCCCTCTCCCTCTCCGCCGTCGCCAGCCGCTTGCCTCTGTCGCCCTCGGCATCGCTCGGACTAATCACCGACCGCTCGCAGCGTCATCACCACAAGCCTCGGACGCCTTCACGCATGCGGTGAGTAAGCAGCGGGCTGCCCATCTCTTCGGACCCGACCACCTATCGCACCTATCATATCCCGGACCGCGCCACAGTCGCCCAAACACTGTCCATCTCTCAGGGCCGTGACCATCTGAGCGCGAGGCTGCACCACACGGCCGGAAATAAACACCCACAACCCACTTTGGGTTTCAGGGCTCCCGCGGGGCCCGGCATAATTAGGCCCCCGACGACCCAAAGAGCCCATCTTTTGCTACTCTCAGTCAAGACGGCCCTCCCTTATTCGTATTTACATACCGACTTGCTACTTTCTCCTACACTGACTATGCTACCAGCACCGCGGCTGACCCTGAGCCAAGCCCAAAGCACTTCCGCTGTGCAGCCATCTCTACCCTAGCGCAGCCAAAGTGACGACGACGATGATGCTGATGATGATGATGATGCAACAAAACGATGAAGCCCTTGTAGTTTCCCCTCCCCCCCTTTCCCGTCGCGTAACTTTGGCGACTTGGGACACCATGCGGCTTCAGCATTCTGCGCTGCCAAATACCTCTAGCTGCTGTAAACGAATCTTGCCATCCTTGCTACCATTGGCCCACATTCGTTGGTCTGGGGTTTCGATTTTATTTTATTTTATTATTCTTCTCTTTCTTCTTTCAAGGGTTTTTTTCCCAGCTTGGCCGCCCTAGCCGCAAGAAAACTGACTCTGGCAGTTTCCTTTGGCAAGATTCCCATAGCGTCTCCAACGGGAAAAGATCTTCGGCGCTTATGGTGACGAGTCAGGCCAGGCTTTGTCGAGATAATGCCGTGAATGCCAGGGGTCACAACACGTGGCAACCGATTCCTTTTGCCTAGCGGCCGCTGGCGTGAACGATGTAGCATAGTGTAACACCGACGCGTCTGCCCATGCTTTTTCCCACTCTGCCAAAGCCAGGCATTCGATTTGCATCGCATCGTGAACGCCTCTCGCCAAAGCCTCTCAGCACTACTGCAAGGCTGGCCTGCAGCACCTCCTCATCACCATCACCACCAATAAGCCGCACTCGTTGGCCTTTGGCACAAATTGTCAGCATGGCTTTCCGACATGCTCTTTCTGACACGCTTCTCATTTGCAGCTTGTTTCAACAGGGGTCTACATGATGCCCTATGCGGCACCTTGCCGAGATTGAGCGTATCTCCTCACGCTGCGCTGCTGAAGACTTTTATCTCCACCCATATTGCCCTGGTTATTGCTCTCGTCGTCTTTTTTTTTCTTCGACACGGTCATTCTCTCGGGTGGGGCTTCCGGTGCATTTCGCCCGCCGCACAAATGTCGGTGAGACGACAGTACGCTCGTGATACACATTCATGGGAGCAGGGAGGGGATGTTTGGCCGATGGATTCATCGATCTCGACCAGTCATGAACCAAACTCGAGATCTTCAGCTCTGGCTGCCCCAAAACTTCGGCTCCTGACAAGGCGCGAACTGGACGCTCGGTGATGCCGGCTAGTGTTTCCAAAAAGGCGAGACGGTTATGGCCAGCTAGCACGTGATGGTGCCGCGGCTGCATCCGGGACACATTCTCGAACCCCATAGCCCAAAGTATCGAGACATCGCGCATGATATGCTTCAGCTATGCAGACTGTGGCGTCTCCTAGCAGTAACATGTAATCACTCCTAATCACTGTGTCAGTGCGAGCGCCTGTCCTCGCAATATCTGACTCGGCTCGCCGACTCCATGTGGAGCTCGTCGGCGGCCCTACACCGATGGCCCCACGATGCCCTTCATGCCTTGAACCTCCTCAAAGCACTCGGGCATTCTCCAAGGCCCAGAAATGGTCGTGCGCCGTCAAGGAAGCGCCGTCAAAGAAGCGCCTTCGAGAACAATTCTTGCCGTCTTCCCGCACCACGGATGATGCGCCATGTCTCCTCAAATCCATGGCTCGACTTCGGGAAGGAGCTCCATGGAGTAGTCTGGGATTGATTTGCGCCTACTAACGGTTAACTGACTAAGGATAGTCGTGAACAATTTTTTTTTCGCCCGCCATGACCGTCACTCGCCGTCACTCGCCACAATCGCAGCAGCAAGACAGAGTCGGGGACTGAGCTTCTGTGATAGCTTGTCCCGTCGGTTCATTAGCACCTAACATGACACGACCTATACGAGGATGAGAAAAGTTGTCGCAATCATGCGGTAGCAACGCTAAGAGCCATCGAACCACCACATCGTGGGGCTTGACTAGTGAGGGACACTGGCTTATGTGTGTCTCTGTGTGGGGGTACCCGTTAGTAACAGGGGAGCAAAGAGCTGGAGTCTTGTCTCGGAGCTTTAACAGCAGCCCGTCACTCACGGCTACACCACGTCCGCCCGTAAGACACATGGCCCAGTGCACGCACACACGCCTCAACCCTAGGTCGTCCCTCGTTGCGACGGACGGGACCAGTGCAAATTCACCAACTAACCTCCTCACCGCCCACACAATGGATCCAAACCACTCTTGCGCGCACTCTAGCCGCACTAACTGCCCTCCGCGGGGACATGGGCTTCCTCCGCGTAACCATGAGTACGCACAAAGAGACGGATAAACATTTAACTCTTGTCTGTCCTCTCCTGCCTTTCGCGGCACCATCCCCACTGTTCCACGATTACCTCCACGGCATCGCTGATGCCGATGCCGTTGCATCGACTCATACTGATGGTCGGCTGTAGGGCTAGAACATAGAGTTGCTGCCTGTCGCAATCTGTGCAGGCCACCAGCCAATCGTTCATGCCTACTTCCACCTCTTCGGTATCACTCTCGTGCCATGATTGCACTCCTCGTACCGCCCCGCGGCCCTCATAATAACCCCGTTATACACCGCAAACCCTTGCTTGGATGATCGCCAAGGGGCAGTTTCTGCCAAAAACCAAGGCCGTTTACACGCTCTACGCGACGTTGGCAACAAAGCCCTTTGACAATCATACACCAGGCAGAATTGGGACAACCGAGTAGTTGAACGCGGCTAACAGCAATATGGTGAGGCTTACAAAGATTTGACCTGATCTACTTCGTAATACATACACGACACCAGCATGCGACTGAAAACGGCCTCAACTCAAACGGCTACTGCCAGCTTGGGGGAAATTCGCTCAAGGATGAAGCCCCAGCATTGCGATTGTGGACACTCTTGGTCTTGGAAGGTACCATGTTCGCAAATACCTATGGCAACTGCCCCTAGTGCCTCAGAAGCCCGACAGCACATGTGCCAAGACTTCTCATGTCGCGTCAGAGCACCCCGTTCGGCTGTGACTGTATGGTATTACAGAAGACAGAACACGCATAGTTTCCAGGTTATGTCGTGTCAATGTAACGTCAAGGCTATATTACTTTGAAGCGAAGGAAGCCCGTACTAGTGGCGCAGCATCCAAGCGTCTGTAGGTAAGGGTCTCGGCGCGCCACGGTACCCGTACCTGAAACTCCACCCGCGAGATTACTTGCAATCGCTTTCAAAAAAAAAGAGAATTTCCCAATACGTGCAACACGGGTCACTTTCCCTTTTGTGATTTTGGTGATTGCGCTGGCGCCCATGTTCTTGGTCGAGCGGTATTTTAGAGCCTTTTTTGCCGGCCAATCTTTACTACTAACTTACATATTTGTCTTTGTGTGCCCAGACTTGTCCCCATTCCCACTTTCCCACTTTCCCGGTTTTTTTCTCTTGTATGTGTGTCTGCCAAGTAAACAATGCCTCGCGAGAGAGGAGAGCGCCATTATATTTCTCGTGTTAGAGAAATTACAGAGAGAAAAAAAAGGGGGGGAGAGCCAGCAGGCGGAGTCGTCGGTGATGGTGGTGGCTGCTCATTATTGTAAGTATGTGATAAGTAGCGCTGCAACGCTCATCACACTTTTGCCATATCGGATAACGGAAACACGGTATTCCGTTGCATATGATGGCCGCTTTCTACTCAGCTCTGCTATTACAAGGGTTTGGGGAAACTCTAGCGCGCATGCAATAACCATGTGGGCAGACAAGTCAAGAAAAAAGCCGTCATGACTTGGTTAATAAGAGCACACATATATACTCCGCGGGCGTTTTTTGGGTCACACTCCCCCCCCTTCCCCCCTTCCCCCGCGCCTCAACGGGAACCGCTAGAGTTTCCTGTATACCTCGACGTTTTAGCAAGAAATTCAAGAATATAGTTCACCCTGACACACACACACACATCCTTTCAATGAACCAGGGGCTCCAACCTGATATAGGGGTGGTGTGGTTGCCCCTACCACCCAAACCATCTGCACCGTGTTTCGAATGTTGTTGTTTTTTTGCCTACAGCTTATTCAAGCTCCCGGAAAATAAAACGGCTTCTCTCTGGGTTTAAGAGGGCTGTTTGGCGCAAAGTAAGCGTGATGAATGTCATGGAGGAAAATGTTTTCTTGTGGGCTTTTTTTTTAGAAGTATCCTGAATCCGTGGAAAAAGTAGAATGGCGGCTTGAACAACGGTGATGTGTGTATAATAAGGTCGATTAAGAGCTAAATGACTCGCTCTAGTAGTATAGATTCTCCTCGACATGTTTGTGGGGAAAGAAAAAAAATGAAGTCGTGTACGAGATGTAGCACTAGACTTCCTAGACAATTTGATTTGATGGGGTAATCGGCGCTACGCTATGCGATTTTCTAGCTTTATGGTATTAAGAGTGGGATAATTTTCATTCAGGAGAATATGGGGGGGGGGTAGGAGTGGCGTCGAGTGAATCGGTATACGACATGTGTGCTTCGTAACTAATGCAAACCATCATACTCTAAAAATGCTAATCGCGTTGGTACTAGTGTTGAAGTAGCCGTGATATATCATCATGCCTCAAGTAGTACAGTTTGGTTAAATCAAGAACGTTGAAGCGGAATGTGGACCCTAACGCTAGTAGTAGGCGAGTTTGGTACGTGATGATATAAGTACATCGACGTCTTACTTCTTTTCACACTTAGATATCGCTTTTTTTCCCAGGTGGTGTTTGAAATAAAGTCAATGAGTTGAGGTTAGTATAACATTTAGTACATCGTACACTGCATCTCTACAACTATTCAAAGAACATTGTTGCATCACACAAACCACATATACACCAGCAGTGACGACTTATCAAACAACAATCAAAACCTCTTGAATACTCGAAAAAGATTCTCATGAGAATACATCATACAATAACCTCAAATCGTGATACCATAACACCATCGCTCGTCAAAAGTCCAATATGATGGAAAATAAAAACAACCCGGGTATCGTGCTTGCCCCCCAAACCGAAAGAAAAAAATCCACTCAAACAACAAAAGACGCCAAGGAAGACGAAACGTAAATAGAGAGAGAGAGAGTTTTACCGGGGACCTTCAGGCGTAAAGCCAGCGGTGGCATTCGGCGTTGTCAAGGTATCGAGAGAGTGTGAAGCCGGGGACCTTCAGGGAGTAAACCCAACGGTGGCATTCGGCATTGTCTAGAGAGAAGTGGCATCCGGCCCTGTCAACAAGTGCTACCTAGCAGTTCGCTGGAGCATTCTTCATCTCGCTTGTTGACAGGCTGTCGAACCTGATGTTTGGCTGGGTAGCGAAAATACCCAAGTGCCTGTACTCGATATGGTAAAGCGAGTTTGGGCTGAGATTGACGTAACAGCGTTTCTTGAACGCGTCACAACCGGATGCCACTTTGGCCACGCGGACCTCTTCCGCTTGGGCCTGCTCCTTTGAGTTCTCACACAGCACAAAAAACTTCCACTGCCAATACGGCTTCCTGTTTTGAAGCCGCTGGCCGCCGAAACTCGTCACCAGCCGGAACTTCACGCATTCTTCTCCGTTCTTGCCCCGGTACTTTCCGACAACCACCACAGGATGTTCCTCTGGAGAGGAGCCATCCTGGCGTTGCCAGAAGATGGAGCTTGGAGGAGGCGTTCCGAGGTATAAAACTTGCCCTTCTGTGAGCTTGTCGAAATCCGGTGTCGTCACCGGCTTGTCGAGGGACTTTGGCGGGGAACCACTCCGCCAGTTCTTTGCGTTTGCCCATGAGTTCTGGGACTTTGGTGGTGACGATGATGATGGTAAAGAGGAGAAGGAGGGTCGGCTTCTCCAGGAGTCGGATGATGACGAAGAAGAAGAAGAGGAGGAGGAGGTTCGGCGTCGCCAGGAGTCGGATGGTAATGACGATGATAATGAAGAAGAAGATGAGAAAGATGATTGGCTTCGCCAGGAGTTCGCTGATGGTTCAGCTTGACCCCACCGTGTGTTGCCAGAGGATGCCATTATGATATTGGCTTGTCATTAAAAGAGGATTTATGGGTGATGGATGGTGAAAGATGAATGATGATTATGTTGAAGTTGTCTTAGTTCTGGTATCGATGTTGGTGGATGGATGGAGGAAAAAAAGAATAGAACAGGAGTTTGGCCATTATATATATAGGACGGCGAGGGTGCCTATTGAGATTGAAAAGTACATGTACTTTTGGCATGTGAAGTGGCATCTGTCTTTGGCATGAGCGAGTGACAGACTATCAGCACCAACTGATGCCATGCGCGAGTAGTGGTTGGTCAAATAAGCAGTCGATCCTGCAGTCTAGGACTATCGATTTATCATGTCTTGGGAGAGGTTCGAAGGATGACTCGAAGGATACAGCGGTATATCGAATCGTATATCTCTCAAGCGTCTCACGCTTTCTGGTTTAATTGCGATAGGACTACATGTGCCATATTGAGAACCGTAACGTATGTAGAATACACAAGAGATAGGGACGTTGCTACGGGGACAATGAGCTGTTGCTTGGAACAGTCGGCCGCTGATACCTGCTGCGTCATTTTAATGTCCAATCACGATTGCCAAGTTTGCACGAAAGGCAGGCTCATGTGGCTCTCGTTAAATTACGAACATCAGACTCCCATATTGATACATCAAAAGCTTAGACATCATGCAACGCCAGTTTTCAATCATACATCGTACATACATCGTCTTACAGGCAGATCTTCATAATGTATTTTTAGTAAATTACCTCATGGCTGCTCCTGTGGTAATGTCCTTTTACGGACATCTTCACTGCTTTCCTTCCAATAACAAGGGTCCAAATGTATATCGCCTTCTGTTTCTTGGTCAAATGGAAAGAACTGAGTCACGATTACTTGTAATATCTTGGAATGTGCTGAGAGAAGTCGTTCACGTGCCCGTGGCCAGGCAATAACGCATAACCTCTTTCAAATGACAGTATCAAAGAGCAAAGATAAGAGGTGGCTACCTAGTATTTGTATTCAGCTCTTTATAAAAGATCAGTATATGGTCCAGTTAATCCAAGGATAATGGATATGTAAACAAGTTCTGAAATTTGTACTGCGTACCGTACTACCGTAAATTCCCTGCCACGTGATATTTTGCACATCACACTGTGGCCTCCCCGTTCTAAACTTAATAACCCCATATCTAACACAAAGGATATTCAATATTTTACATGCCTAGAACTCTACCAGAGTAGATCAACAGCTATATAGAAACCCGTGGAACACTATCATGCAAATGACGCACTCATGTAAGGTAGCTAGCAATTCCAGACTATTATTGGAATCACATGGGTTAAATCTGAATTGTCTCGTCCAGAACCTTCTTTCTAACAATATTAGGCTCCCGACCTGCAGCGTTGGCACACTTTTTCTGTTCCCAGGATAGATTACCAAAGAAACGATACTCTGGCCATTTGAAAGATGCTCGGCTGACCACTATTTCCAATAAGATGTTGTTACCAGGTTTCCTATTTTCACAAGGCAAACGGCCTCCTATCGCGACTGGCAAGATAATCGATTTCAAAAGTGAACTTCTTTCCACTAAGACTCAAAATAAATCGAAAACAGCACAGCGCACGATTGGAACGGCACGCTTCGTCATCTAACAGTGGACAGCAAACAATGCCCAGTAAACCTCGAGGATTATTTGAATATGTGGATTATCTCAGATAGAAGGACGCCAACCACTTGCAGGTATGCGTGTCTTTGTATTAGTCAGTAAAAAGAGCTATAATCAGTATTGTCACATATGCGTAATTCTGTGGAGATGGTAGCGTTCACTTGAGTGTTTCGATTCCAGGGGCTGGATTCAAAATACAAAACAGACTCGTCAGACTATCTAGACGATGCGTCGAGTATTAAATGTTTGTTGCTTGTGCGCATGCTTTGGATATCGGCATATTCCTACACTGCAGACAATTTATGAAATGTCACAACAAGAATAAGCATATCCCTAAACTGGTAACCCATTGTAATAAGAGATTTGATTACGGGAAGACCCCTATTAGGGAACTATTGCAATAGAACTGCACTTACGAATTCGAAAAAACGTGACACCCCATACCTTACATCTAACATACCTATTGACGAACATGTTTTCTTGTATGCTTGGTGACAATCCACTGGTAACGCGATAAGAAAAAGTTCGAAGCAGGCAACACCACCATCTGAAGGTACACTAATCAGCAATGACGGCTTACATACTCTGCCAGTGCACTCGCTGAAGCAGAAACGAGTCTCCATGATGTCTACACATCTTAAAAAAGAAGATAGGATGGAGATAAGAGAGGGGTTCGACGCACAGACCCCCCATTCATCTCAACTATTAGGATAGAAAAAAAAAACAGGATATCAACCACAACCACCACCACAACTACGAGGACCTCAAGAAGAGCAAAAAGAAATGTTGACAAGAGTGGGATTCGAACCCACGCAGATTTCTCTACTAGCACCTGAAGCTAGCGCCTTAGACCGCTCGGCCATCTTGCCAGATGATATATGAAAGTTCAATTTTTTATACCGTCTATATACCAGACGATAGACCACAGCAGCATCGGCAGCCGCGAGAAGCGGGGTGGTGTCCAAAAACTGCGATAGCAACGAAAAGCGTGGGTGTGGGGGGCAATGAGGGGCACTTCAGCCGTCCCACGCAGACCTTTTACACCAGACTCGAGCGGGACCCATCGAAAAGTAAAGAAAAAAGTCAAGAAAAGGGTCCAGCACACCTAAGGCCCTTGTCGCAACCACCCCCCAAGTTGCAAGTCCAAGTCCCCCCCCCCC